TATAATGCAGTGAAAACTATACAACATTGATGAAAGAAATTAAAGAAGAAAATAGTTGTTGAAAAGACATCACATGCTCATGAAGTATAAGATTTAATATTGTTAATTTTTTTTTTCAGAAATAGAGACATCATCCTAAAATTCATATGGAGTCCGAAGAGACTTTGAATAGCCAAAACAGCCTTGAGAAAGAAGAAGCTATGTGTGTCACACTTCCTGAAATCAAAACTTTTTACAAAGCTACAGTAATCAAAATAGTATGGTAGTGGCATAAAGAGAGACATGGAATAGAATAACGAGCTAAAAATAAACTCTCTCAAATATGGTCAAATTATCTTCAATGAGAGTGTCAAGATAATTCAATGGGAAAGAATAATGTTTCCAAGAAATTGTACTGGAAAATTGGGTATTCACGTACAAAAAAATGAAGTTTGTCTCTTACCTTACATTAGAGACAAAAATGAACTCAAAATAGATTAAAGACTTAAATGTAATACCTGAAACTATAAAACTCCTAGAAGACAGGAAAAAGCTATACAACATTAGATTTGGTAATGATTTATTGTATATGGCATTAAAAGCACAGGCAAAAAAAGTAAAAATAGATAAATTGGACTACATGAAAATTAAAACCTCTGTGCATCAAAGGGCACTATCGACAGAATGAAAAGACAACCCCACTTTACAAATTAGAATGAGAGTAAATATTTATAAATAATATATATAATAAGTGGTTAATATCCAGGATACATAAATAATATCCAGGACATAACTTAACAAAAATATATAAATAACTTTATTAAAAATGGGCAAAGGACTTGAATGGCCATTTCTTCAAAGAAGATATACAAACAAACACATGAATAGATCCTCACCATCATTAACCATTAGGAAAATGCAAATCAAAACCATATAACATACCACACTTCACATCCATTAGGATGGTTACTATAAAAAAATGGAAAATAACAAGTGTTAGTGAGGATATGAAGAAATTAAAACACTTGTGCACTGTTAGTGGGGATGTAAAATGGTGTAGCTGCAATTCCACTTTCAGATATGCACCCTAAAGAATCTAAAACTGGGTATCAAAGAGATTTGTGCACCCATGTTCACAGCAGCATTATTCACCACAGCCAAATGTTGTAAGCAATTCAAGTGTTCATCAACAGACAAATGGATAAACAAAATGAGGTATATAAACATATGCTGGAAAATTATCCAGACCTCAAAAAGGAAAAGAATTCTGACACATGCTATAATATGGATGAACTTTGAGGACATTATGCTAAGTGAATAAGCTAGTCACAAAAAGATGAAAACTGTGATTTCACTTATATAAGGTATCTAGAATAATCAAATTCATAGAGACAGAAACTATAATGGTGGTTGCCAGGGTCTAAGAGATGGGGAGGACTAGAGAGTTGTTGTTTTATGGTTATATAGTTTTAGTTTTGTAAGATGAAAAAGAGTTCTGGAGATTGGTTATATAACAATGTAAATGTACTTAACACTAATGAACTATACACTTAAAAATGGTTACAAGGGTAAATTCAATGTTATGTATATTTTGCCACAGTTTTTTTTTTTTGTGTGTGTGTAAACCTTGAATTTTGAAACACATTTGTTCTGAAGGGTTTCGAAAAAGGGACTGTGGTCCTGTAGTAATAAGCCATCAACTCTAAGCCAAGTAAGAAGAGAAGTGAAGACCTGAAGGGAATAGTAAGCAGTAAAAGAGACAAATGGATTTGAGGTCCTGACGGAATTGAAGCATTAATGAAGTAACCTGGAAAGCACCAGGTGGTCATCAGAGATTTGGAAGATATAAATTTTCATTTGGAAAAGACACAATCTAGATAATGACCATGGGAATAGAGAAAAGAGTACAATTATTAGAGCAAAAGGATCTAAACAATGAAAATGAGAGGTTAGAATTCAGGGATACTGAAATCTCCATGAATGATAAGAGGAGAAGAAACATAACAGTAGGAGAGAAAAGTCATGAGTTATTTCTTACCTCATCTTCTATTACTCTCCCAAGGAGAATGTGGCAAAAGAAGGGAGAAGGGTAACAACCACCACAACTAGAACCAACATAATTGAGTTGTGGGAGAAAATTCTTAAGAGGGCTGCAGGAGAAGTTCTCAGGAGACAAGTAGATTTCAGTTAAAATGAATTTAAAGGTTATATTTTGAGAAGTATGATTCCATGATAGGTGATTAGAAAGAAAACAAGAGTCCAGGGGATGGAGAATCTATGCATTTTATAATCACATCTTGAATAAATGATAATAGCATATTTAATTAAATCTGTAAACCTTTAGTCTATCTACCACATACAAAACATTGCACTAAAAAGGTAAAAGAAGATACTTTCTTACTCTTCAGAAGCTCACAATCAAGTTTAAGCAATACCCAATAGAGGTTTCACAAAGCTAAAGAAAAAAAAAACCTTTTGGAAATTCCAAATTCCAGTAACTGTATTCTGTATTTGGTGTATAGTAGGCACTGTGTTGAATGAATGACTATATTGAAAATTTGTAATATAAAGATCTTTTAAATTTCAATGGTCTTGGTTATTCTAATTTGTTAAGTGGGGATAATAACTAACCCTTTAAATAACCCATTAACATACTTCAAAGTAATGTTAGGAGAAATGAATAGTATGTGTGAAGGGATTTTATAATGTTTAAAGTATTCATAACTGTAAGATATGATTTTAATATAAATTATGAAGATAATAACGTAAATCAAGGTACCAAAATGTGCTTAAAAAGTCTAATTATCTACTGAAACAAGATGTGAATTTCAAAAAAAAACAAGACTATGTCTGCTAAGGTGAAGTAGAGCATGGAACTGAGCACTCTGGGAATCAATTAACCTATGTACAATTGCTGAGAGCTGGGCTACGTTTTCATGTTTTCAGAGATTTCACTGTTCTTGGTGGTGGTGGTTGTCATAATGGCCCCTCAGCCATATGCATGAATTTCTCCCTTAAAGAGCCTCAGTTACTCCCTGGCAGTACATTAGACACTGGGGATTTACTACCTCTAAGATCATGATCATTCTTTAATACTGAAGGAAATAATACACATCATTCCTGAAAAGATCAAATTCTTAACACAAGACAAAGTACCTTTAAACATTTTGTTTAAAGAATATATACTTGTGTGTTTTTAAAAACTGTGTGTTAGGGAAATGAGAAGTAGATAATATTCTTTTGTGAACTATAGAGCTGTAAAGCCAGAAAGAAAAACTAGGAAAAGGGCAACTATACTTAAAAGGGTGTTTTAAAAATTAAAATGTAAATAGTAATTATTATGAAATGACCAGAATTAATTAGGCCTACAATGGGAGTAGAAATGGGGGCAGGGTGTTTTTAGCCAGATAGTATCCTATTTATTACAAAGGAGTCATAAAATAAGTTAAATTTAGTGAAGAAAGTTTACTTTCTACTGGGTGTAGTATAGCATGGATTGCATTAGAGCCATTGTGGTCTTTGGTGTTTTTACTTCTGAAGTCTGTGTTCCATGAGGTTTGTGCTAAGGAAGCTTAAAAAAAGCATACAGTCTATAAACAGACCACCACGGCATGTCTCCCCATCTTCAATACAAAGATTGTGCTTTGTTTTCCAATATTTTGAGATATCTTAAAATAGTTTGTAGTTTTCTTTTGTACTTGGAGCTGGGGTCTTTTCTCATATTTCCTCATCTACTGCTGGGCATTGGGGAAGACACCTGTGGGTCTGAGAAGCATTCTTGAACCCAAGCAGTAAGGAGCTCCTTGATTCCCAAAAGGGCTTTCATATGTTACTGGGCTGGCAGTGAATATCACAAGATATCAAGAGCCCACAAAGGAAAGTAAGATGATCTGATGATGCTGATGTCCCTTCAATCTCCCCCTGTCCAAGGACAAACTGAGCTTTATGCCAAGGTTACCTCTATTTCTATAGATAATAATCCCACTGTTAATTATGAGGTATGGTAGTTATGGTAATGAAGAGGAGCTAAATTTGGAAAATTCAGAAAATGTTGTAATGTAGAAAGGTTTTGATTTATAGAAACATTTTTTTTCAAAGTTTACTCATTTAATCTTGATTTAAGATTTATTCATTAATTCAATAAACGTTGTTGAGTGCCTACTATGTGCCAGACACTGTTCTAGTTGCTGGGATAACTGCAGTGAAGAATACACGCAAAAACCCCTGCTCTCATAGAGTTTATATTCTAATGGAGGGAGAGTGACAACAAACATAACAAAATATGATATGTTACATAGTGGCAATTCTGGGAGGAAAAATACAGCAGGGAAGGGAGACAGAAGGTGTTATAGTGTTTGCAATTTTAGATAGATTGCAAATTTACAGAGCATCCAGGGAAAGACTCTCCACAAAGATGGCATTTGAGCAAAGACTTTAAGGAGGTGAGTTAAAGGAGCCTCATGGATATCTGGATTCAAGGGCATTCCAAGCAGAAAGAACAGAAAGGTGGGAGTATGCCTGAGGTTTCTGAGGAAAATCACAGAGCCCAGTATATCTAGAATGGTGTAAGTATGGGAGATAGTAATAGGAGATGATGTCAGAGAGAAAAGAGTGGTAGAGACCGGAGTCTGATAGGCAAGACACTGGTTTTACTCTGCATGAGATGGGAAGTCACTAAAGGGTTTCAAGTACAGGAGTGATTTGAAATCACTTACATTTACAGAATTATGCTGGTTGCTGCATTGAGAACAGACTGAAAATGTTAAATTCCCTACTTCCAAATGTAGAAGATATCATGAGGTTAATAAAGTTTAATAAGCATCTGTGACTCTATAATGAATAATTATATGAATAATATTCAATAAATTAACAAAGCATTGAGAATGAAAAAAATAACAACAGAAGAAATAGTCAATAATTGCTTGTTTAGGAATTCTGAACAGGCTGAATAAATATTAATATGAATGCCTATAGCCTAAATTTTGTATGGGGAAAATATAATGATTTAGGAAAATATTTACCTGTGTAGTGACATTTCTTTCTTTTTGCTTTTTATTATATCTTTCTGCTTCGATATCTGCAATATACAAAACATTTTTATAAAATTTGAAAATTTCTTTTTAAAATTTCACTAGATACAGTTTCTTGTTAAAAAACTTTCTAGATAACTTTGAGAACTCTAAGAATAATAGTTGACCATCATTTACAATTTAAATTTACTAAAATGTGTTATAAAATGATTCCTTCAATGATAAATTTTAAATATGTAAATGATGCCAGAGATAATCTAAATGCTTTAATCAAGCATCTTAAAATCGAGTTAATATGAAAGAATTCTACAAATAATAGAGCTAATTACAATAGTGGAATAATTTCTGAGCTAGAATTCTGAGCTAGAATAAATGTATCTATGTAAATAGATGCCATCTATTAATAGAGAATATTGAAACAGAAGGAATATAATCTTTTACATTTTTATAGACTCATCCATGTGTCAGAGGGATGCTAAAAATTAATATTGTTGAATGTTATAAATATTTGAGAAGTGTAGACTAGATTACATCAGGCTTTGAAATTTGTGAAAGTGATTTTCACAAGCAATTTTTAATTAATGTTTTTATAAAGAATAGAATATATCTACCACAGAATACACAGGTAGTCATTGCATGGTACTTAAAATTTCTTAACTTACATATTTAGAAAAATAAGCCTTTAAAAACCTGATATAACAGGGTGACACATCATAGCATGTCAACTTACATTATTAGAATTGATAATTTTTAATTACTGAAAAATTATTCAATGCACAGTAAAAATGACCCTATATATTTCCAGCAGTAAAATATGCATGAATGTGATACATTCAACATTTTACAGACTGAAGAATTTGACTCAAGACAAATATGAGGTAGTCAAAATTTTATATTTCCAAAAGTCATGAGTTTGTACTTTAAGAGCAGGTTATAAATTTTCAAATGTTATCTCAGCATTATCTTTATTAATTTGATATGTTTTATTCTTTCTCTCACTGATGAACTTTAATACTTGGCCTCACAATTCTGTCTGTTCTGTTTACTTTGTAAGACAGACTTTATAGAAACTGGCCCTGAATTGTTTGATATTTAGTCCTTTGACAAATTAGAGAAACAATTGGAAAATTCTAAATAAAAATTCAATAACTGCATGTTGACAAGTGATTCATATAAAGCATATGAAAAAATTTTAAAAGTTATACATATTTCATACCATTGTAAACATTAGAATTGCTCTTTAGGTTTGAGATTTAAGATAAATTATGCCAGAATATGAATGTTATTACAAATGAGACTTTATCCCAAGTGATCATTCTGGGGCCCTGGATACTCATTATCAGAGGCAATATAGCATATAATTCACCATGTAGCCTTTGAGTCAAATAGTTCTGTTCTAGTTCTGATTTTATATGTATTTCATTAATTTATGATAATCAAATAAGATAATCAATGTAAGGTATTTAGTACAGTACTTAACACATATCCAGTGTTTAATAAATGTTAGCTATATATGTAATTATGTTATTATATGAGGTCAACTCTGTTAAAGGATTCAGGATGCCTTCAAGATAATAATAGATGTAAATTAGTATTTTAAAAAGACTATGTAAATAAAGTATTATTAGAAACAATGTTAGAATTTATTGTTTTGCATATAAAAACATCTTTATCAATTAAAGCATTTTCTTCAAAACAAATTTCTTAGCCTAATTATATATATATTTAGAAACCAGACAGTGTGACTGATATTATAGTCACAGTAAATGTTTAGTAATTTTAAAACTCCATTATCACAACTAGAAAAGTAAACTGGAAAAAGCAATGTAATTTGGTATATTCCCATTATTATATTCTCCAAAGTACATAGAATAAATTAAAGTTAATATGCACAGTATGTACAGACATAGAATGAGAAGTATAAAGTTTCATGTGTATTACAGCAAGAGAAGAAAATCACAAATATTAAATGGAATAAAGTTTGTATTATACATTCGACTAGAAAATCAAATTGTCAGACATCAAACATTAACATGAAGATTACAAGGCTAAAAGCAGTTTTCAAAGATAGGATAAGTACAGATAAAAGAACTAGTAAAATGGGAGGTGTAAGAATCTAACTGAAGAAAAAAATTATTTAATAGCTTAAAACACAAAAAGATGATAAAGACAGCTATTACTTCCAGCAGAAAATGCAGTTACAAAAAAACTCCACTCTTTTAAAACATTTTTTAAAAAGTATTTCTTTTCTAAATTTTAGGTTTTAGGTTTTCACCTAAAGAAAATGAAGTTTTGATTGCCTACTGGGGAAAAATTTCTGCTACAAATAGTACCTTGCACAAAGCTTTCTAGTAGGTTTTTTTATATTGGTTGAGAAACATTGGTAATTGCTGGAGACTTGTCCCACTCTTTTCATTACCTCCCTCTATATGAATACTGATATTGCCACAAATTCTAGCACTCCGTGTGGAAACATAATCCACTGGGTGAAGGAAGAAAATATAGATCTAGTTATGTGAAGTTCTTTTAAAAAGCTCCTTTTTTAATTTATATTTTTGGAGTGTGTTTTATAATCTTAATAGTACATTATCCTAATGAATTGATATACACATAACAAAGTATATAATCAAAAAGGACTGTTATGGAGTTAGCCTTAGAAGGGAACTAAAGTTTCCTTCAGCTCTAGAATTGTAGCTCTAGCTATAATTTATTATATGTCACTTGCTTTACATACTTTTCTCCCATTCTCCCTAACAATCACTAAAATGGCAAGCACAGAATATTTGTATTCCTATTTTACTGATGAGGAAACTGACACCAAACGAGAATAAACAACTTGTTCAAGGTCATATGTCAGAGTAGAATTCAAATGCAGGTCTGACTATAGATCTATCTCTCTTACTGTCTCTCCAAACTTTATCAAAGGATTCACAATAGATTGATTTTAAGTGGCAAGCTTCTACAATGACACAAATTCCATTGTCTTTACAAAAAATGGACTTATGCACAAAATTTTGTGGGACACGTTTATTTGTATAATGTGAAACACACAATTTTAGGTACTCTAGAACTTTAAATTACTAACCCCATTGAGAGAAAAAAATTTTGATGTAGTAAAAAGGAAGCTAGCACTACAGCCCACTGCCTACAAAAGAATTATCCATGTGGTTTTGGGGGCATGGAATCAACCCCAATAGATTAATGGAAAACCCACAAAATTTTTAAGTCATATTGAAAAAAACACCACTAGCTTGTACTAAAATAGATTGAGACAGTTCAAAATGAAAAGTAAAAAATTTGCCTGAGGGTAGACTGTTGTAGATCTGTGACAATAATGTCCCCCAATGAATCACAACTACCTGTGTTCACAGCTCTTTACATTGTAACTTTACTCAATCTTTCTATCAAGAGATGAAGACTATTTTTCCCACTCTTTGAATGGGCTACCCTTGTAACTTGCTTTGACTCACAGAAATGTGACAGATGACATTGTTCAATTTCCAAGGTTAGTCCTTAGTAAACCTTTCACCCTCTTTTATCCTCTTGGAATAATGCCCCAAGACAATCATGCCCTGAAGAACCAAGGAATAATAGACTATGGGGAGAGAGAGGCCTACCAGCTGACTACCAGCTGAGTGAAGCTACATGAATGAGCCTAGTTAGACCAGTAGAAAAATCACTCAGTCAACTCACAGAGAATTATGAGAAATAGTAAATCATTGGCATTTTAAACAACTAAGTTTTAGGTTGTTTGTTATGCAGCAATTGATAACTGAAACAAGTCTGTTTCTTCAGCCTACTAGGACACCTTGGATAGAATTCTCAGTTCTCAGAAGCTACATTAGACCAATAATGCCAAAGAAATCATATATAATATATTGATAGCATGAGAAAAAGATTAGAAAAAAATATCCAAAATTGCCTTGTTCACCGTTTTTTTTTTTTTTTTTTTCCAGATCCATGTTCTCATGAAAGTCTTTTTATACATTAACTCCTGGCTTTAAAATTCATTTCCCTAATATGGCTCACCTTCTTTCTTTCCAGGACATTGTTCCTCTTCCTTTGAATGGACATTGGGACACTGAGTAATGTGACTTCCTTTACTGACTGTAGTTCTGGAAAAAAAACCCACCTTGCCTTACAGGGGAATCTGTTTCCATTTCTTTGTTCACACGACATTTACAAAAGAAACTAAACAGAAGTATTTTATTGATTCTCCTGTCTTAGTTCTCTAAAATGGTGCTTCATGCCTCACTTATGACTTCACCTAATTCATATACTTTGACCATTAGATGTATTAACAGTATAAAAATATTAACTATTGATTCCTTCCTAACCTTTCTTTCAGATTCTCTGTAGTATACTGGCTTCTGTGACTTTATACTATACTGTAAACCTCTATTCTAGTGTTCCTGTCAAACCTTTATTCTAGATTCCCTCTTTGGTTTCTCTAATGATTACATATTTTTCAATGCTCAGTCCTTGCTTCTTTTCTTTGTCATTATCTAAAAGTTGAGCCATGCCAGTAAGGAATTTGGAGTGAGTACAGGAGGTCAGGAACTAGGAAAGGTGAATGTGCTGATTCTAGGACAGGCAGCTACTTAAAAAGTGAAGCCCTGGGAATCAAATTAAAATCAGAAAAGCGCAGGTCACAGGAGAATCCAGAGAAGAAATCCAGGATGGCAGAGGTGAGACAAGTGGTGACAAGAGGTGAGAAATCCAGGATGGCAGAGGCACAAGGACAGTTCCAACACCTGGAACTAAAATTATGGGAGCTGAGAATTAAAGTGTGTAGATGAATCTAAGTTACCAGAAATGGGTAGACTACTGGGGAAATGTAGGAGTAAGATGAGTGATGGTTTGCATCTACAATGGCCCAGAGAAAATTTTGCCTAAGGTTTTTGTGTATGTGCGTGTGGTGGGG